AGCAGCATCAGCAGCAGCAACAGCAATCATGCATGGCTACGGAAAGACTGCACTGTGATTGCCGGCACATTAACACAAACACAGGCTTCGGTCTTGGGCTCTTCCATGCAAGTGCAATCAACCTTTTCCTGAAACACACTGGCAGATAGCATGAAAAGTTGAAGGTTCAAGGGCTGACAGTGTACATCAGCCGGGAATCGAACCCGGGTCACATCGATGGCAACGATGACCACTAGACCACTGATGCTTCTGGGTCCCCATAAGAGGGCATGTAAAGGATCAACAACTTGAAATCGCCAAATCCACTAGTGCCGACGACGGCGACACACCCCAAGACAGCCTGACACCCTGCAAGAGAAGTGCTCCGACCGACATCCGCAGCTGGGTGTGGCGGCCGACTGGCGGCAGCTTCGAGATGGGTATGAAGTAGCGATTCAGCGGGCTGGTCCTGCGGGTTGACTGAAAGCTTGCAATATCCATAGTCCTACCAACGTAGACTGCAGCTGAGCTTGCCCATGATGTAAAGAAAGGCCGGTGCAACTTCAGGCCTCGACGCCGTGTTCAGGGCTTTCTGCTACAAGCTTTGAGACTTGGGGTTACTTTCGTCAAGGGGGTTGGAACATCACCTTATCCGAGTAGCAGTATCCACGGTGCCCTCACCCGTCCTCCACAGTCTCTGCAGCTCCTCCTGCGCTATGCGAAGCCTGTGAACACACTTCCGTCACGACCCATGGCACCTTACCACGTCTTCCAAAAGTGTTAGTTTAAGACTCAATGACCCATCACGTTCTGGAGATTTGTATTGCATGGGCGCAAGATGCACTTGCTCACACTCCCGGTTCCGGTGGGGAGTAACAAATCCTGAGCCCCAATGCTGCACGCCATACGACTTGGGAGTTTCCGATAATGAGGTACCTTGTTTGGGGGTCCTTGTAATCAGGATCCTACTATTTAGGGTACCAAGTTAGGGTCCCGTATTTTCGGGAAACCCCCACGTGCATCCCAAGAGGAGCAGTCTGGGTCTCGAGCTCAGCAGCATCGCCCATCAGTGAGAGGAAGGCGCCGCCAGGGTCTCGTGGCTTCAAGGCCCCTGCCTGGCTCGGCTGTTTCTTTGGCTTTAATCATCGTTTTTTGTCTTTCCTCGATCCGAGGCACCCGAGAGACACTTCTGAGTAGGACAACTGCTGAAAACTAGTCAGAGGCGGCAAGCCCCAACCCTCCACCCCAAATCGCTGCATCTGATACCCGAAACCAAACTGGATCCTCTTGTGCTTTTGGGATTTCCGGGTAAAGGTATAGGGCCATAGGTTTAGCCCTAAACCCTAAACCCTAAACCTAAACCCTAAACCCAAAACCGTTAGGGTTCAAGGGTTCGGGGATTTCCGGGTACGGCTCACCAAAATCGCCTCCATGGGCCGAGCTCTTGGCCCATAACAGGGCGGCTAAAAAAGGGCCGGACAGCTCCCAAAGCCCAAATAACCCTAAACCCCTAAACCCCTGAACCCCTGAACCCCTAAACCCTAAACCCTAAACCCGAAACCCAAGTCTTCAGGCTACCTCTTGGAGCCGGGCCGGGACGTCGGAGGTTGAGGGGTTTAGGAAGTTTGGGGCTTTAGGTTTTTAGGGTTTAGGGCTTATAGGGCTTTAGGGAGTTTAGGGTTTAGTGTGTAGCCTTTGGGGCTTATGGTCGGACAAGCATAGGCTTCTTGTACATATGCATAGCCAGAGAGCGAGAGAAGCCTTTGGGAGAAGGAGACAGGGAGCCGGGTACTTCAAGCAAAAGGGACGGAAAAGGGACGGTACAATGGATAACTCCGCTAAATCCTCTCACTTCAGACATGAGCATCTCAGAAGGAAGAGGTTCAGGGCTTCCAAGCCTTTTCTTTGCATGGAGTTCGCCCGCATGCAAGCACGGGCATCTGCCCGGAGGTTCATAATCATACACATAAGTCAGATTACAAGAACCTGAATTGAGAATGTAAGCACTTCTAGCGACAACGACCTTGCTTACTACCTGGATTGCAACTAGACATGAACCTCCAGGCAGCCTCTCGCGCCAGCCCAAGGCTATGTGCCAGCTTACTATGTTCGCAGTGTTACCTGCTCTGCAGCACCTTGAGTGCGCTTTCTCATATCCCGCTCTGAGGGAAGGCCGGCACGGAGATGCGAAGGGGGCGAGTTTCTGAGCTAAGCAAGGGCATTGCTAGAATGAGCAGCCGCTAAACTGGTTACCCAAGGTAGCTGTCTGCCAGACGTTGCGATGCTGACATGTCCGGGTGGAAGTCGGAACTCGGCAGGCCTTCCGGAACTTGTGTACAAATACTGCTCGAGCGTCAGCTGCAGGGGCTGGGCTTCCTACGCCCCTGAAAGTGTCTCTGACAAGCAGAAGTAGAAGTCATTCGGTGCACCCTTTTGCTGAGCTCCAAAGCAATGAAACTGTTATTGTACCTTGCACCGGTCGGCGCTTCAAAAGTGAAACTGAGGATCGAAGCTGCCAGTGCGATACTTCTAGGCTTTGATGGACCGGCGTTGGTGACTTCATCTGACCCTAGAAGCTTCACAGACTGCAGCGCGAAATCTAGGAGGTTGATAGAGAAGCCAAGATGCATACCGTGAGAAGAAACACTGGCGAGACGTCGATCCCAGTCCGTGCAATCCCCAACATTGGGCAACATGTGCACGAGGCCACAGATCAAGAGACCTGCAATCTGTGTAGCATGCAGCGTTCTGCTCCGGTTCTATCACATCACGACAACCTTGAAAATGAAAGACGGCGACCGAGCAACCGTCTGCCAATCTGGAACAGATCTCCACAAGATCCTCAGCCGGGCTGCAAGTACGCCTGGCCAAGCTTAAGCGTGCTTGAAGTTGAGAGGTGAACAAGCCCTACAACAGGCGTAGAACAAGCGACGATGACTCAACATGACCTTCGAATCTCAGGGTGCGGGACAGCGCCACAGAGCCGCTAGTCACTACAGCTTCAGCAGGCTGTGAGCGGAAGCTCAAACTGGAGTTGCCGGAAAACCCCCAAGAGAACCAGAATCCAAGAAGACTCGCAACTGGAACATCCTCCTCGCACATCGTAATCGCCGACATTGCGCACTTGACCGTCATCATACCTTGGTCATCACCGGCATCATCATCATCAACATCATTGCTCACAGTCGTCACTGCCATCACCGGCGTCACGGGTAACAGCATCATCATCTTCACGGTCATGTTCAATATCATGTTCTTCCGGTAGCAACGTCGTTCGTCACCATGAAGACCATAATCAACACCGTCATCACCAGCACCATACCGTCAACACGGTAAGAGTAACAGTAAACATAATAGCAAAGAGACCGGCAATAGGGGCACACGACTAAAACCGCAAGCATGACAAGCACGTCAAGCTGAACAGTAAAGTGTAGATCAGGTTGACCATACTGCTGGAATCCGTACCTTGATATTAGTTGCGCGTAGGAGCAGTACTAGTAGTAGCGAATTACCGCTTTTAAAACTACATTCAAAATGAATCGTCGTTACCTTCGTCGTCGAACTGGCATCAGGCCGTAATCATAGTCCCAGTGAAACCGTCGTAGCCGTAGCAGCGGCAGTCGCAGCGGCAGAAGCAGGAGTAGCAGTCGTAGTAGTCGTCGTCTTCGTGATGGTGGTGGTGGTGGTGGTGGTGGTGGTGGTGGTGGTGGTGGTGATAGTAGTCGTGGCAGCATCATCGGCGGCAATGATAGTTGTGGTGTGCTAGTGGTCGTGGTCGTTGCAGTGGTAGTGGTAGACACACCCGCAACGGAGATCGAAGGAGTGCTAGAACTAGTAATTCTGGATGCTGGTTGTTGCTGTAGTCCTTACAGACTGACGACACATCAAAGCCACCTGCAGATTCTGTAGTGGTAGGATAAACCGTGCAGGAAGATGTGCTGACCCCGTTTTGTTGCGACACCAATGTGACCAGCCCGGACAGGACTGGACGTGATGTGTCGAAGGAAGACCCGCTCACCTACATCCGGATGCGAAAGATAAACTTACAATGTAGCCCTTGTCGCTCCAAGAAGCCGTCAACAAGCCCAACCCCAAAGACCTTTTCGGCTCGGGCGCACCGAGTCACATGTCAGCGAAAACTCTGCTTCCGGTGTCAAATCTTATCGAGGACGCAGATGTCGGATTCGGGAGGAGGGGTGCCCTCTCTCTCTCTCTCTTTCCGTCTCTCCCTCTCTCTCGTTATGTTCACTTGCTCTGCATAATCATTTTTTTGTCGCTCAACGAAAGTCTGATCTCTGACTATCCGTTACTCCGTTTCGGTGCTTACCTTCCCTGCTGGGTTCTCTTGTTCTTCATGCTATTGTGCTGCGGCTCGTCTGTCTTCGGTCCTTCTGCTCTTCTCCCTTTCCCCTGCTCTTCTTCCCTTTACATGTTGCTTACAGCTGTTACATGTCACATGCGTAATCCACCACAGGTCTACGTCTCCATTGCCACCGGGAGCATCTGCCGAGCGCATGAACAAACAGCATCACCTCCGACAACTTGCAAGCAAGAGCCTTGGTTGCATTTCTGTAGCCTGATGTGCAGAAATTACTTGCACTTCTGACTTGGATGAAGAGCACCGTATGGCCATGTCAGAGTCACCTTTCGAAAACAAGGCGACCTGCACAGACGCAAGGCCTTCATCAAATCTGCCAGACCTCATCGAAGATTTTGTGGCGACACGGCGACTAGCAGCGCTCGCACAGGCATAGGAGGCACAGTACCCAGGAACAACGACATACACTTTGACGGCTTTGCCCCTGCACAACGAAGCAGCATCATAAATTCATTGGCGAGTACAACACAAGGGTTGGCCACATGCTGTCGCCGGGATTTAGTCGGCTTTAGTCATCTATCAGGACGACGCCATCCTTTGAAGATGGTGCCCTGCTCTCTACAGGCTCCTGCATCCTGCTGAGCTTCGACAGGGCCTCCATGGCTTGCCTCTGTTGGCTTCGTTTGGGCTGGGGCTACAGAAGGGCTCCTTAAAGGGATCTATATCTATACGGGTTTCATGAGGTTCAGTCAAAGCTGCATTGAAGCTTGTGAACCCGAAGGCACCAGGTTTGATACGCCGCTGACAACCCTCCGAGACTACACAGATACACCCATCTCTGATGCCCTAAGTTCTGATTCATAGCACGGCCATGGAGAGGCATGGCATTGCCCACACTTCAGTCCTTACGCGTGATTACAAAGATTACGGAATCAAGCCGAAGTATCTTCGCACTCAACCAGCATTATGCCAACAGATTCCAAAGCCTGCAGAAGACTCACACAAACGAACGTCACAACAAAGAAACGCGAGTGCGCTAAGTAAGTTGTCGCAACTGTCTCTTGAGAACGCGCCTGCTACACCGCAGATGGGCTGTCGCCAGGTTTCGGGAGTCGAAGTTATAATTGCTTGAATGACGAGTGCATCACCAGGCCTTGATGTTAATGCTGTTGAAGATCAGTAAAGACTCAATGTTGATGCATGGTGAACAGATGAACAACTGATAGCTGAGCCCTTACTCAGGATATCTTGGCGTTAGACGAAGTCCTACCCAATTATTTTCACGAAGTTCATCACAGGCAACAAACACCCACCGATTGAATGGCACAGCCAATGTTTTCTGCCACGTTGCTTGAAAAGCTCCTGCTGCGCAAGCACTGGCTGCTGCAGCAGTTTCCATCGGTCGCACCTCGTGCCCAGTCGGGAGAAGGCCCTCATCATAACTCATCACACAAGAGTACATAACAGTTCTTATGTAACACGACACAAGCAAGATCCAGAAAGAATGCCGAAAACAAGAATCCAGGTAAAGCTTTATAAACTCTCAAACCGTGGTAAAATCCTGAAGCCTAAAACCTCGTTCACCCCGAAGCAATATGTGTATATATATATATTTGTATTAGCCGCTGCCTTTATTTGCGTTTGGGGCTGCTTACACTCTCTCGTACCGGAGCGCCTATCTCGCTCGTTCATGCTTCGTACTGGCAGAAGAATTCGATCTCGTTCGAGTATAGTTAGTACCAGCTCTTTCAATCTTGCGGCCGTATCCGCACTACTCGGGTCATCATCTCTCATTCGGGAAAGCGGGCTTTTCTCAGTTGCTTTCGCTGCCGCTGCTTGATCTAGGCGAACAAGTAGTAGTGGCAGTAGTAGTAGT